TATTACCCTTGCAGTTAAATCAGAGTGCTGATTTAACCTTTACTCCAAAGTATATTTTAAGTTGATATGGAAGTTAGGTTCTGACAACGTACGTCTGTAATGTGTTGGTATCTATGTGTATCGTGGTTCTGATGATTAACAGGGGTTGTTCTACTGGAAACCTTCTTAGCATCAGACTCTAGTGGTTAAATGTCTCCTCTCATGAGGTTTTCTAGAAAATGCATACAAATATTACATAAGTTACTTCTTGCTACAGCATGGATTTATAAATAGGCTTTAAATAGCTGCTGCTATGGGTGTTTATTCACCACAGATGTCTAGAGAATCAAGCTTTAAGAGTTCAGTGTGAAAGACTGGTTGGTTTTAAATGGTGACCAAGAAGAAGGGCGGGTTAGAAAAATGAAAAATCGTCTTTAAGATCAGAATGTGAAAATCATGTCTCGTTAGGCGGCTATGAATGTTAGCAGACATGTTGGTGGAGATAGTGGTGTGTGTGAGGAGGTAAGGCTGGGCAGGTATTGTGCTGATGGTTTGTTTGTGTGCAGCCAGAGAAAAAGAGGGAGATAGCTGTGGCAAACAGGGCAGCTATCAAAAGCCACAGGCTGCTTTAAACTCACTGTCTTCTCAGCTTCTTTCTTCTTCTTCTCTCATATTTCTCTATCTCTCTCTCTCCCTCCATCCCTCCCTCTCTTGCTGCTCCCTGGCCATGCTGATGATTGACGGCCTGAGGGTTTTAATGGGCACTGGAGAGCAGGAGCTGAGGTCGGGGTTGTCATGGCAACTAGGAGAAGGGGCCTTTTGCTGCTGCTTCACCTGCAAACTGTCGAGCAACGCACACATACACACATGCTGGCCACACATACCTCCGTGCCAGCACCACCTCTTCCATTCACTCTTCCTCCTCTCCCTGAGATCTCTCTTTCTTTCCTCGTTTTCACTTCATCCTCCTTTTCTTTGTCTTTTCTCTTTGTTACTGCTAATGTTCTCTGAAGCAGCAGAGCTGGTTAACTGTGTGTATATTCTGTGTGTGTGTTTGCACTAATATCCAGAATTTAGTTAGCTGTTTTTTTAACCTAATACAGTATGTTAAGGGAGGGGGAATTCTTTACTGTCTATTCTTTACTTATTGATAACCAGTTTTTTGGGACAAAACTGTGAAACTATAGACTTTGAGTAAAGAAATAAAGTCGAGTTGGTTTTGTGTGAAATGGGCAATCCTCCATCAGTATGCCACCTGATCTGCTTATAGCACTGCATTGCTGTATCCCTATCTAAGGTTTATATATGGGTTACACATAGGTTGGAAATAGGTTTAAATGAGATTAAGTTGGAATATTGCAAGTATTAGATAGTGGTTTTAAATCTTACCTATATGGATCTTATGTAGGAAAACTCTGAGTATAAGAGGGACACAGTTTTCCAAAATACTATTTAAAAGTATTCTAAACACTACATGAAGTTCCCAGCCTGTTGTACTGATACGGTTTGCATTTAGTTAACCTATAGGGGTCCAGTTCAAAAGGTCTACTGTGAGCCAACAGTTTTGTAGTATGCATCCAGCTTGAACAAAATCCATATGAGTTGGCCTGTCACGATAACAAATTTTGCTGAACGATTAAATGTCTCAAAAATAATTGCGATAAACGATAATATTGTTTGAAGACCTTTTTACTCTGATTTAATGGAAATGACGTAATAATGCACAATTTATTTTCATCAGAACACTTAACACTGCAACTGGTTAACAAAATAAAACGAAAAATAAAAATCAAATGGACTCTCAGTCTCTGTTAACTAAAAATACATTTGAATAAAAACTAAACACAAGATAAAACCACAGTGGAAATAAAAACTACATTCAACCAAAAAAGTACAGATAATGAAGTCTGTAGTGGAATTGCCGTTTGTGATATGTATGTTTTCTGGGGAATTCATACTGTCTATCAAATGTCTGCAACATTTTTCGAAATGTCTGCTTTTAACAATATTAAATGGGAGCATCTCTTTAGCAATGAGATGAACTACGCTGTCTGTGAGCGCGTGCCACTTTGCGCCGTCCTTTAGTATGCTGCCTGTCGATTAATTGTTTCAGTGATGGTGGACTGTCGCGAACTGGAAGACGCAGACGAGCCACCGCTTGTACTTTTTGTCCCCAGCTGGAGAAACTTTGCTGAGTGGTTGTGCTTTAGGTGCATGTGTAGGTTGGTTGTATTTTGCTATTAGTTGCTACTGTTTTATGACAAATGCGACATACTGGCTCGCATAGGTTCAGCGGTTCGCCTCTCTCATTTGGTTTGAATCCGAAATATTCCTACACTGTGGCTGTTGCGTTTGGCTTTGAAACCAGTTCCGTTTCGAGCTTTTCCCCTCTAACATAAGATGTGTTTTGACAATGTGGTTTTACAGTAACTTTTACTGTGGCAAGGCTTTAAAAGAGATATCATCAAAGAAATAAAAATTTTTTTGCTGCAGAATAAATTCAGAAAAAATTGGAATAGTTATATATAGTAGTTGTATTTTGTATGTGTTAATCATTTGATGTTTGTTACTTTAACATTGGTTTTCAGGAATGCTACTGTAATTGTTATAGTCCAGGTGTTCTTGGTGATGTTGAATGACAGTTACAAAATAAAAGAATAACTCTACTATAGATATATGTAATAGAATTACTGTATGCCAGCCAGTTTGTGTATAGTTCACTAGCTCTGGTGAAGCGTATGGCAACACATTTTGAAAATGATTAAACTCTGGAGACAGATATAAAAAGCAAAAAAATACTGATAAAAGGAGAATGGAGAATTAGAGGAAAAAGAGGAAATATTACTTTGGATATTTTGGATGTTGCTCACTTATTTTAGTAAGTGAGCAACCGTAAATGAACATTTAGAGCTTTTAATAGACTCATATTAGAAAAGAAACCACCTGTTTAACCAGCTATGGTCAGAGCTTGCTGTGCTCCCATGTAAACCAGTTCAGTTCAGACTCTATTTCAGATCCTGGGTATAATGAACTGAAGGATCAATATCATTATAATTTTCAATTTTTTTTCTCAAATGATGAAAAATCCCCCCAAAAATTGCAACTTCTAATATGAGATCACCAGCCTTTCATGATTTTCATTTCAATTCAGTCTATTTATATAGCACCAATTCAAAACACCTGTCCTCTCCCGGCACTTTACAGAGATTTCTAAATCTTTTGAAAAAGCAGAGGTTTCCTGTTCCTCTTCACTTTTTACTCTAGTAGGTACTCTTGACCTCTACCTCTTCATGTTTCTCCACCGTTGAGCTCTGAAGGAGTTGATGGAGTTATCATCATGACCTGAGAGTGATACAGCGCTGTCTTTGTTGGACTATTGAACACTTTGAAACCTTATGTCACCTTTCCAAAGAAATTTTAGATATTTCATTTTTATTATATTCTCTTTTTCTCATTCTTGTCAGCTTTTTTTAATACTTTTATTTTCCTACTCACTTCTAACATGCTGTCAGAGTCCCACAGAATCACACCGGCCTCACCAGGGTTATTTGTGTCTGGACTCATGGCCCCTGGGCCATCTTAGTTAGAGCCTGTGTGGTGCCAGTCAGCCAGGACATGCTGGGATTGTTTGCAGTCAAAGTGAGTGGAGATCCCATTGTGTTGAAACAAGCCGATGACAGATGAAACTGGACAGTTGACATCGTTATGGAAATGAATCATGAGAAAAAGTTTCTTGTGTTAAAGGTTATTTTTAGGCAACTGAACCTCTGTGGTCGGTGGTAGAAACAGACTCTGGCTGACAGACTTGTTTTATAGCCATCAATGTTTTTGTCAGAAATGTAAAGTGTGTATTGTAAGTCATATAGAAAATAACCTAACATAATAATAATTTAACTTTATTGATCTCACATTGGAGAAATTTATCTCTGCATTTAACCCATCCCCTTGTTGAACAGTGGGCTGCCATTGTGTGGCGCCCGGGGAGCAGTGTTTGGTCAAGGGTCTTGCTCAGCGACCCAGAGTGCAGACTGTGGGGATTGAACCGGGTGCTTGCAACCTTCTCAGAGCACAAGCACACTGCTCTAACCACTAGGCCATCACTCCGCAAGTCAGCCATAAGCTCTCTGGTTAATCGTTTGCTCCTCTGACCCAGATGAAGGCTGAATGTCAAGCTGTGACAGGACTGAACACCAAAGGTCAATATTTCCTGTCTTTAAAGGACATCAGGGCGAGTGTTATGCCTTTCTTCTGGTCTGTGCTGAAAGTCATTATAAGTTAAAAAAAAAGAAAAGAAGTGCTTCGTCGTGACATTTGACTATAATTGATACTCGTTACAAACTTTCATGGTAAGATAGCTTAAGCTCAGTCGGACTGAGAGAATATACTTTATCAAGGCTTTGCCCTGATCCTTGCTTGGATTTAGGACTGGACTGCTAGTGAGGTTTTCTTACTCACTAGTTTGCTTTGATTCAAACCAGTTAACTGTAGCTTTGGTTGTATGCTTTGGGCTAGTGTAGGAAGGTGAACCTCTGCCTCAGTTTTAAGTCTTTTGCAGACCTTAATGGATGAAGTCGTTTTCTTCTTGTCAATCTTTCATTTAATGCATGTTTGGATGTGCATTACTTTTGGATCTTTACAGCTCCTCCAGAGTTACCATGGCCCACTTTTCAATTTCTCTCATTTAGGTTCTTCTTGTGCAGTGTGGTTTAGTGTGGTGGATGGGTTTGCTATATTTTAAATTGTGCCATACTCTATTTTTAGATAGATTGGCAAGCAATTAGTTTTCTTATGGCCTTCTTGATCTTTTAGAATACCAACCAACTATTTCAGATCACTTGCATTTGCATCTTTGTAGCTGCCTTGACTGTTTCTGAACTTGCCAGTAGAGTTGGACTTTTTCTCACTTCCTTAATGATTTAGGCGATTCCAAGAATAATTTAACACCTTTGTCTTAACACTTTTTGTCGCTGTATTTAACAAGTATACTGAGAAAAAAAATGCTTTCTTTTGTGTCTTTTCAGAGTGCGGCCGCTGCTCCCAGTCCAGTGATGGGCAACATGCCACCTAATGATGGGATGCCAGGAGGACCAATGCCCCCTGGCTTCTTTCAAGTAAGAATCTCTAATAATATTTCATCGCCCTACCTGCTATCAGGGTTGCTGTTCATCTATCACACAACAGACCCTTCCCCCTCGTTCATCTTACATTAAGCCCATCCTTCTGTCTCCTTCTCCATTTTTGGTCTCTTTTGGTCTAATCTCTGGCCAGATGTGTTCCCCACTCAGTCCTGCCTCTGTCCCTAATGTCCAAGAGATGTTGGGTTGTTAACCCCTGGTCTTCTCTGTGATCTTTACACAAATCACACAAATCATATGCTCTAATACATGCATTTTCACCATTCAGCGTCTATGTTTACATGGCTTTTTTTTTATTTGAGGCAATCAAATTTTACACATACTTTCAAGTTAATTTGTGTTTTTCACTTGAAAACTTGCAAGAATGTTCATTTGAGTTAAAGTTTTAAGTACACAAGTTTAGTGAAACTCTTTTTTTCACTTTCTTGTTAGTGTTTTATATAAGTAGAGCCACACAGACCATTCTCTGCGAAAGCCAACTAGATTTTGCTTCAGGATTTCTAACTTCAGAAACAGGAAAATGAGCAAACTTTACTCTGCCCGAAATTCAGAAAAAAAATATCTTCCATTTCCAGTATAGCTTTATGTTTTTTGAAAAAAGTAGCTAAAACAGAAACATGTGAGGTTGGATTTTTCTGATTTATTGTCTAAAATATACTTTATTCTGTGGTTAACATTGTTGTTTAGAAGCTGATCTTCCAAATATCATACATGTTTTAACTGTTTAAGCTGTTTTAACAATGAAATGAAACTGATCATCATGTGTGGGCTTGATGACTCAGTTGGTAGAACAGGCTGCACATGTCTGGATGTTTTTAGTCCTTAATTTGCTGGTCCTGGGTTTGATTCTATGTCTGCATGCCATCATCTTTGCTTTAAAGCAGGGGTGGGGAAAGATAGGCCTCTAATGCCACTGACCTGCAGGTTTTGTTTGCGTCCCTTCTTCAACACCTGAGATACCTAAACTCACCAACATGCTAAGGAGGTAATTTGGTCTTTTGTCTCAGGTGTGTTGGAGCAGGGATGCATGCAAAAGTTACAGGACAGGAACAACGGTTTCAAGGAGCAATGTCACCTACCCCTACTTTAAAGGAATTGTCCAATAAAGGCCAAAAGAAAAATCTTGAAAAAAAAAAATCAAAATATCCAGAATTTGTCACATATCACTAAATGGATGTATTTACATCTCTTTGCCTCAACATCTAAAAAAGTTTAGAGACATTTGTTAAGAGGAAACATCTTAGTAGACTGTTTAAATTTAAAATGGCAAGCACACGTTCCATTGGCAAGTTATGTAGCTAGCATGGCTAGGAGAGCTCAAAATTGCAGTCTCGCATATAATCTTAAAGATTGTAGCTCCTTAATGGTGAGATTTCATAAAAGTCTGACAACATTTGTGAATCTGAGGTGTTACATGACAGAAGAAAAGCTCAAAATTATAAAACAGAAACTTGGCTTCACTCCATTCAGCCTTCCTGTTATCTTTTGAAATTTTTGCTCTCTCTCACAGTTTGAATATAATACTCTTCAACATGTTTTAAAAATAAAATCAATTTATGTGGCTTCTTACATCTCAATAACCCCATTTACACTACCCTTGAAAAACTGATCCATGCCGAGACCGGTCTGAGCTCGGATCGATTAATCAGGCCGAGCTTGGTTCTGACGACCGTTTACACATCACGCTATCTTGATTCCTTGACTCCTCGCGTCCTAGTGACAGTCTGCGGTATTACTGCCAGTATTGAAGGAGGAAATCAAGCAGTTGGTGGCGGTAATGCACCAAAAGTTGTTTGCCAAGAGGGAAGCAAGCAAATCAAAATGGCGGCGCCCGTCACATTCAGAAAGTTATGCTTGATTATTATTGCTGTACTTCGGTGTTTGCTGAGGGTCAGGCATTACCGCCAACTACTGGAATGGATTGTGAATCGGGATGTGCAGCCAAACGGAGAGAGTTCATGCACACTTGTTATCAGAGAACCGAGCCAGGGAAAAAACGAGCCGAACCCACCTCTGGAACTGGTCTGCAGTTATCTTGGTCCGGTTGTGTCTAGCTCGGTTCAGTTCAGTTTGCTTTCCATTTACACACGATAAGTTATCTCAGTAACTGAGCTCGGACCGGTCTCGGCACAGTTTTTCAAGGGTAGTGTAAATGGGGTACAAGCTTCCTTTGACTTCATTTTGAGACTGAGGTCTCATCCAAACTGTGGTGAGATTGGTTTACACCCACAAAGGTATTCTGCTGTTAAGCTGTCCATCCGAATGTAGCCTACGTTTTGGGAGAACGTAAACAGTCGTTTTTGAAACGTGGAAAAATCGTATAATGCCATTTAAAGGTTTTAATGCGAGTCCAGTTCTTTTTAAACAATGAGACTCAATCTACCTCAGTAACCTGAGTAGCCTCTTTACCTCTATGTTTCCGTGTTTACCTTGCAAGAACTGTCTGCGTATGCCCAATCTTTTAATGAGCTGCTTGGCTTTGATTCCCTGGCAGTGTCACTGCGCCACCAAATGTCCCAGTAATGTACTACAGCACCTTCATTGTTGTGTACACTTGTATGGAAGAAACTGTTTTCTAAGCGGTTTATAAAAATATACCGTGTTTGTCTTGACATGGACTAGAACGTTTGCAGAAATCTCTGGGCTTCCCTTCTGAACACAAAATTTCAGAAGAAATTGTATTTTTTATTTTTTTATTTTAAGGTTTCTGCTTAATCTAGCTATGCATCTTCTTTCTTCAGTTACAGTGTTCCCTTGGAAGTGGATTGTTGAAACTAAGAACTGGGAGTACTATTTATGGTGCATTCACTGGTCAGACAAGGATTGTTTTTTTTGTGTGTGTTTTTTTCACCTTACCGGTCACCAACCAGGCTGCATTAAAACTTAAAACTTACTGATGCTAGTAACCAGTGGACTTCTTAGTCTTGATATTTGTTTCATTCTTTTTATGCATTTTTGCACTTTGATGTTGCACAGATTCCCCACTACTTAGTCTTTACCAGAAGCAAAGTAATAAATGTGCCGATTTAAGAGTTCATGTCTTTTTCTTATTTTGTAGATCTGGATTGGTAGCACATCGGGCATTGTGCAGCCCAGTGTGTGTATGTGCCTGTGGGAATGTTAATGATGTATGAGCTGTGAGCAGGCTGGGGAAAAAGCTATCTGATGGTGTTGCGTGAGTGACATTGCTTTCCATAAATAGACGCTGCGTGCATGGCAGACGGACAGATAGACGGGTAAGGGAGAGTGGGCAGATGGGTATGAAGCGAGAAGGAATGAGAGGATGAATGGAGAGATTTAGGTGCACATTCTCTTGCCTATGTTTCTCACTGCTTACCTTCGTTATCGTAATCTAAGGTAAGGAAATAGAAACTAAACTAGTTAAAATGAAATGTTGCTCAGAAACACCCATAAAGCATGGAGTATACCTGTGTCTTCAGAGGCACACTACATTTTTTCAGTTGAGCATCAGACCTTGCTCTGTGCTCTGACAGTTGTTCCCTTTGAACTAATGGCTGCGGACTAATCTGAAAGTGCTGCCTACTGAGTTTTCGGCAATACAGCCATTCATTTAAATGAAGGGGAAGCAGATTCTTCCCTCCCACATATTGTGCAGGTTTTCCTTACACTTCTATCGCTCCTCCTCAGCCACTCTGCAGACACAGCCGCTCGACTGTCAATGTAGAATTGTGAATGGATTATATGCCGTAAACTGAATTTTTCTGCTGCTTTAGTCATTTCTCAGCTGAACTCGGGGTCAGTTTTCTTCTCCCTCTCCCCCGCCTCTCTCTTTCTGCATGTCTGCCATCCTTCTCCATGACATTTTCACACTCCTTACATTCCTCCTTGTCTATATATTTTTCTCTCAGACGGCCATCAGTGATTTGTGTAAAGTCAGTGACATCTGCGGGTGCGCTGCTCACATACAGGAGGATTTGTTTGCATTCTGCAGATATTGGTTGAACTGGTGTGAAAATTAACATAGACTTAATTTCTGTTAGCAGTCTTGATCCTGGGGGGAAATAAGGAACACAGAAGAAGAAATAGAGTTGGTTAAAAGAAGTATGCTCAACTAAAAAACCTTGAATATTAGTTTATGGCCCATGTTGTGTGTCATATAAACATGTCCCATGTTTAACTTCACTGAATGCTGTTGATTTGACAGCCTCCATTAAACCTGCTCCTACTGAGGTGGTGCTGATCTAAAGGCATGCAAGGCTAATAGTATGCATAAAAGAAAACATCCAAAGCAAAGCTTAACAACTCAGCTTTAAAAGACTTTCTACATCTTCATAAGTACAGAAAATATTTGCCATTTCTGATTTGACTCTGATCCTGGTGTTTAAATGCTCCATCATCAATCCATCCATCCATCAATCCATCCATTTATCCACCCATCCATTCATCCACCCATCCATCCATCCACCCATCCATCCATTCATCCACCCATCCATCCACCCATCCATCCATCCATTCATCCAACCATCCATCCATCCATCCACCCATCCATCCACCCATCTATCCATTCATCCACCCATCCATCCATCCACCCACCCACCCATCCATCAATCCATTCATCCATCAATCCATTCATCCATCAATCCATCCATTTATCCACCCATCCACCCATCCATCCA